CACTGACAAGGATGGACAAAGCAGGATCATTACTGCTGCTCAATAAGGCTCTGCTTTCCTCACATAGGGGATACAGGCTACACACACAGTTGAGCTCACCACAGCAAGTGACACTGAGCAAGAAGTTTTGAAGGAGGACAATGAGAATCATGAAGGAAGAGACTCAACGGATCAAAGTTAAAGTGCCACGATCAGCAACTAGTCAGTGCATAGCAAGGAAAAGCAGTGAGAGGGTAAAGAAAGGAAGGGAAGCACATGGCTCAACAGTGCAAGAGCACTTCAGGTTGAAAGATGACAACAAAGCTTTTCTAAGAAAGCCCTACACACACAAGCACAGGCACTCGCTGGAGCTGGAAGTCATGTTGGGATAGGAAGAGACTTTGAAGGTAGTTCAAGAGGATGGAATAAATCCTTCAAAGGATTCATCACAACTGCCTGCTTCAAGGATACAGTATGAATCCCTGACTTCCTCTGGAAGTCAGGCTAACAAAAGATACAACATCTCGGTACAGGATCTGCCTTAGCACAAAGCGAGCTTTTTAGGTGCCTAGGCCTGTCTGAAGAAGAATCTGTGCCCAAGCATTTGGGCATTTTAATATACATCCCAGCACATATACTTACATAATTCCAGCAGACTCTAAAGAGGATGGGATACTTTTCCTACTGCACAACCTAATCCCCCCACAGAGAAAGGCTGAGGTAAGAAAAAGAACCAAATCCTGAAGGACCTTAAAGCTCATCCAGTTCCAGCCTCCTGCCACGGGCAGGGATACCTTGGAGCAGGTTGCTTCAAGCCCCGTCCAAGCTGGCCTTGAACAATGCTAGGGATAGGGCAGCCACAGCTTCTCTGGTGACATGAAAAAGGAAGCTTTCAGCTCTTAAAAGTGAAGGAATTCCCCATTCCAATGGGCCAAGTGATCTCCAGGACTTCAGGCTCTGGAACACTTTGTGATAAGCTGATCATTTCCTTATGTTCTGCAGTGAAAAAAGTGGCAAAGGCTATTTTAAACGTCTCCAGCTTTGTTTTCAGAGCTAAAGACAGAGGTGATGACTTGAATATGAACCTTAGACAGCACAGCTGCACTTTTAGGTACACAGCAAAAAGCCTGCACACGTCAAAGAAGCCTTTTTTCAGCACCCCTAGGAGATGCAGCAGGACTTGCCAACAGCATTCAGGAGTGTGAAGTACATAAGTACATTATTTAAGTACACTGATTCCATTAAACAGAACCATTTGTTTTCATCTGCTCTGCAAACACATCTGCTTAAGTGCTCCAGCTTCACAAGGCACACATGGAATTTGGAGCATTATCCATAGGGATTGTGCGCAGTTGGAAGAAAGCAGAGATACAGCAGTTGTTAAGGGGGGGGAAAAGTCTTTACTAGTCTGACAGTTCCTAAAATACTGTTGCTTCAGTGAAGAATGAACATGCTTATATCTGATCTACAAATCCTGACTAAAAGGTTACTCTTCCCTTGCCAGAAAAGCATCTTCAGAAGTTTACAACTGCTTGAGCAGAGCAGCCGAACCCTGCCAGATAACTTGATGCTAAGAGAAGGCTGCAGAAAGCCACCTCCTCACATGCAAAAAGAACACTTGGAGGATTTACATTACAAAATAGCATGTTTCTAGGATTCAGAGCGCTCTGTGGCTACCTCATTCGTTTGTGTAAAAGCACGCATTAGGCAAATCTTGGACTCTGAAGAGTGTTTCCTCCTCCTCCTTCTTGGTTGCTCCTGACTAATGAGTATTATGAAGCAAACCCAGCTTCTGCCTGGAATTTGTGAATCCCTGAAAAGCACCATTATTAGACAGCATGAAGTGTGTACATGCACCTCTGAAAAACACAGCACTCCACTGCCTATTGGTATGATCAAGGGTTTATGAGTAGTTGCAGGACAAAAATGCCCTCTGCAAAGCAGTGTTTCTGGGGTAAACATCATTACAGGCAATTTCAAAGCACAGATTTCCCACAAGGAAAAGTTAAAGTTCTGTAATTATACCATCATTAAGGCTTTACTTACAAGTCATGTGAGTTATAATCCCACTGTCTTCAACTGCACTGCTGTAACCATAGGCATGGGCAAGCACAAGGACTTAGGGCTCCCTCTTGTTCGATCCAGCAACCTCATAGCCAAGATTTGTATGTCTAGAAGTTCACCCTGCACTGGTTGGTCTCATGCTGTATCACCTCTGAACACAAGGCTTGTCTTACAAAGAAAGCCCCACCTTCATTTGCTAAACAAAGCTGGAGGGAAAAACGTGGATCTTCAAAGTTTCATACAATCCCAGACTGCTTTAGGCTTAAGGGACCTTAAAGCTCATCCCTGTCCACCTTCCACTAGAGCAGGTTGCTCCAAGCCCCTGTGTCCAACCTGGCCTTGAACACTGCCAGGGATGGGGCAGCCACAGCTCCTCTGGCCACCCTGTGCCAGCGCCTCAGCACCTTCACAGGGAAGAAATTCTGCCTAAGAGCTCATCTCAGTCTCCCCTCTGGTAGGTTAAAGACATTCTCCTTGTCCTGTGCTTAGGGCCCTTGTCCAAAGCTCCTCTCCAGGTTTCTTGTAGCTCCTTTAGGCACTGGAGCTGCTCTAAGGCCCTTCAACACAAAGAATTCAGTTCCTAGAACAGGAAACAGTGTGGGTGGCTGCCTTTGTGCTTCCTCTTCCAGTAGCTTATCGGAGTAGGAAAACTCAGCATTGTTTGCACTGTACAGCATCCCTACAGATTCCCCATCCTTGAAGGATTTCAAGTGTCTAAGCATCCAGTGAGTAGCTAGTATTGCCTGAATTGAACAGAATGGCTCATAAAGTGTACAACTCCTCCTTATTCCAAAGAACATTATCACTTTCCACAGTACTTTCCTCATCCAGGGCCTAAAAGCCTGCCTGCAGAAGGGAGACTAAATTTTGGCAATAGTCTTTCTGTACTGACAGCACTCAGCTTCTGCTGCCAACTCACTGGCATCAAGCAGAGCAATCCAAGAGTGCAGCTTTCCATCCCAGGTATCCACATTCTTCCTCCTAAGCATCCCCTTTGCTACATCTACAAGGCAGGGCACAGTTTTTGCCTGGAAGGCAGCTATTTGATGAGCCAGGGGACAAAGAGGACCGTTCTGTTGTACAGCCTCTAGCTTTCAGAAGTATTACCACTGGTTCTCAGCACACAGCACCGAGGTCACATCTAGCTGTGTGTCAGGCAGCCTCAATAATTCCCAGCTCCAATGCAAAGTGCTATTTCAGCCCCCAAAACCCTCTCATCTTCAGGAAGAAAGGCACTGCCAGTACAGATGGATGTTGCATGCTGGCAACAAGTCATGCAGCAGATCCCTCTGAAATATGTGCTGCACAAGCACAGACGTCTCTTGGAGCGAAGGGCTCCAAAAATCCTCAGTCTGAGCTTGAGGTTCTGGACTTCAAAATGTGGTAGCTAGAAGCAGGGAATTCTGACGGCAATTTCCCATATGGACCAGGGAGTTTTCAGACCCATTAGAGAACTTCAAGGAGTACTGAGATGCTTCCTGCTGCTCCAACCTTTAGCTCGAACTCAGTTTACAAGTTGGAAAGACTAAATCTGGATTGAGGCAGAACAGGGTGAATTCAGAAGCCTCTTTATCACATAGCTAAATGAAGAGAAACAAATTATGTTACATACCCACAGGGACTTCTGAACTGATATTCCAAGAGGAACACACTGGTAGGTCAGAGTTTCCAAACCAACCTGTCTATTGCAGTTTTTGTCCCTGCCCATGGAACTGGATAATCTTAGGGTCCTTTCCAACACAAACCATTCTATTATTCTATGACTTTCATTTCAGGAAGAGACTGTGTATTAACAGAATATATAACAGAAAAAAATAAGAGCAAACTATGGCTTGCTATTAAGCAAATCATGGTTTACAACTATTTATATAGATCTTCATTTGTCTTCAGTAATCGCTTCGGGGGGGGAATCCAATGCAGCAGCAGAGATTTCAACCCAGCTTGAAACTGGACCATCACCTGCAACTGCCAGCAGTCCCACAAGCTCTCTAATGAGAATTTAAAATGCCTGGACACACAGTATAAGAGGACCCCATGCAAATAACAGTAAGCAATAGGGCAAAGTGCTAAGTCAATTGGAAGCCAGGTTGTCTAGCTGTCTCCAGAACCAGAAAGGCAAGCAGGTAGTAAAAACATTGTGTGGAAGCCTGCATGAGGTGTAAGGGAGCACTGGGCCACATTAGGCTTTTGCCCACTATTAAAAGGAGCACCGGTATTGGGAGGCAATGTAACATTCATTTCTTCACAGCCTACTCCCGGAAAAACACCCCATCCCTCAGGATTTTAGAAGTGCCCTTTATAGACGTGCCCATGGGTTTCAGTTCTTTTCTTTGACTCAACAGATTATTTTACATGTCAGAGGTCAGGGATTAATCAGAGCAGGATGAACACAACCAAATGAAAACCACTTATCCTTTAGTCCACATCTAAAGATCAAAAATGAAAACCAGCATATAGAATCATTGAATGGTTTGGGTTGGAAAAGACCTGAAGATCATCTAGTTTCAACCACCTGCAATAGGCAGGGATGGCTCACACTAGACCATGTCACCCAAGGCTCTGTCCAACCTGGCCTTGAACACTGCCAGGGATGGAGCATTTACTTCTCTGGGTACCCTGTGCCAGCACCTCAGAACCCTCACAGGGAACTACTTCTGCCTTACATCTAACCTGAACTCCCCTAGTTTCAGGTTGAACCCATCACTCCCTGTCCTATCACTATAGTCCCTGAAGAAGTGTCCCTCTCCAGCATCCTTGTAGCCCCCTTCAGACACTGGAAGGCTGATCTGAGGTCTCCACACAGCCTGCTTCATTATTTCCCTTGTGAGGAAGCTAGGCTTTCAAAAAGGTGAGGATCTGGGCAAAATCCACAACTTTGGGTATCCCTGTACATGGGACTGAGAGCCAGGCTGTGCACAGGCCAGCTAGGAACACATTGCACTCCCAGGATCACTTACCGAGCGATACTCATAGTAGGTCTTATCAAACTCAGTGCCTCCAATTGTGGTCTCTGGAATTAAGATGGGGACAGCTGAAGGATCCAGCACTCCATCTTTGTCCTGAACACTGCAGGGGAAGCAAGAAGTAAAAGAAAGGAAAAGGAGCAGTTAGTCCACATCCTGCCCCAAAATGACATCAATTCTGAGTTGGATCAAATATTAAAGAACTCCTTTTTTTGTTAAGTACTTGTACAAGGTTCTGGCTCTTTCCTGGTTATGATGCATACTTAGTCCTTTTTTCCTCACACAGCTACTGTGTTTCTTCCCTTCAACCTTGCCTCCAGTTTGCTCCTGTTCCAACTTCTCCTTGCTTCTCCCTTCCCTCCCTGGAGACACTGTCATTCCTGGGAGCCTTCTCCTTAAGGCACCTCTAAGCTTTCTGCTTTCCTAGAAAAGCAAAGGAAAAGCTGAATCCCACACACTATCTTGCTAAATCAGCTTCATTTCATTCCCTCCCTGTTTGATTAGCTAGCACACTTTACTCCTTTTCAGGGTTCATTTAAGGTTATGCTCTTCCCCAAATTCCCAGCCTAAATGGCTGGATGCCGAGGCAATGCCAGGGTTTGGAAGCACTGCCTCTAGCATCTTCCCTGGCTCTAACTGGGAGAAGCTTGCTGCACCAAAACAGATAACAGGGATCACGAAAACTCCATCCTGCACAGCACCAGCCTTTTCAAATACCCCCCATTTAAGATGTCTGAGAAACTGCTAGAAAGCCACATTCTGCATTCTGGTATTACGCATAGAGCAACAGTGCCACCTGCACGTTTTGGGGGCAAAATACATCCATTTGCAGTCAATGGTGACCAAACTGAGCACTTGAAACTGTAAATTATGTTAGGCTTGGTGAACAGCATTTACAAACACATACACACAATGCAAACACCCTCAGCAACACACACATCATCATCTTGAAGCAATTCATTGTTTCCCCCTAAATCCCAGCTGTTGGGACCTCATCTCACAGCAGGGAAGAGTTTCAAGAGGGAAACTATGTCTGCTAAGGTAGCCTGATGGATAATCCACTGTAGATTATCCTACTACAGACAAATTAATAATGAAATGTAATAATCTAGTAGAAATTGATATGGGAGAAGGGTAAATGCCCTTCTACAAGAGCAGGATGAACACCAAAGAGGATTCCCATCAACTACCACATTATCTATCTTCACTTACATTAAATGTGTATTTCACATATGCTGCAAGCAAAGGAAATGAGCCCTCCTTTGCCTCTTCCCCAACACAGCAAGAGCTCTTTTCATTAGCACTGGTCCTCCTGTTGGCCAATGACAGCCTTCCCGCTCCATAACAGCTTGGAATAACCTAGCTGGGATGGAAGAGCTTGCCCAGAACAGTGATTTGACGATAAAATTGGTTTGGTTTCTAAATACCAGCATCCTTCAGGAAGAGCAGCTTTGCCCCTACAAAGTCTCCTGTCCTGGAGCTCTGCTGAGAAGGTATCAGCTCTAATACTGCTGATGAACCTGGAACTAAAAGAAACAGACCCCAGTAGAAAGCAGCCCTTCAGGTATGAGCTCTTCATTCCCTAAGTGCAGGCAATGTTTGAAGACCTCTCACTGAGCTCAGGCTTAACAGCACAGGCTGTGGCAGATCCACTCATCTCTCAGCTGAATAAACATCTCCAGCTCTTCTTCCCTGCCAAGTAGCAGGAGATGTTCTGGACCTTCCAAGTCTGTAGGAGAAAGCAGATGTGCCCAGGCACATATGAAGCAGAACTTGACACTAGTCAACCAGTCTACAATTAATCCATTCTTCCATGAATCTCAGCCAAAAGATGACAAGAGAGGCCAGGCCAATTCCCAGGCATAATATACCTTTGATAATGAGGAAGAGAAAAACCTGGTGCTCCTACAACATCTTCGCTCTCACAACCACTGCTTCCAAAGAAACCACTGCACCACAAAAACATACAAACCCAATGCAACCCAAGGGGGCTCCTCCAGGTTCAGCTCTGCTCTGTACCTTAAGAAGTAACTTTGAACACTAACTGAAAGCACCACCCCAAAGATACCTGCCACAACAATGTCTTTAACCACAGAGGCACGTTGGCTTGCCAGAACTAATTCACTGCTCAGCAGGAAGTGTTTAAAGGCACCTTTCGTTTCCTTCATTTTCTCTCTCACCCAGCACTAAATGAGCACTATTTATCCTTTTCTGGCACCTAAATGTGTTTTCTTGAAGCAGCTCTCCCCATGCAACAGCACAGCTTCCCAGAGCATGCTTTACATACCCATAATATTATGTCACACTTCAAACTTAAAGAGCATGTAAGTGACTGTGTGATCCTAACGCTGTAGGAGCATTAGATTTCAGCTCATGATCATTGCAACCATCCATAATCCTATTAGGACAGGTTCTTCCCATTGCTACACAGGAATCACATTGGTAAGTACGCTTTAGCAATTGGTAGCTCATCTCCAAAAGCACCTATCACACACCTACTGCATCCATTACATTCAGCAGTACACACATGAGAATGTAGGAGGAAGTGGGACTGATGCACTCCTGCATCTTTTTTGGGAAGGAGGTTCTGTTTCCCTTCCAGGCAGCTCAGAGGATGCTGGCCCTGAAGAAACCTGCTAACACACCAATAACTCAGCTTATTCTTCCACCTATGTACAAAACGACATCCCAAGACTGCCTACCACTAAGGACATTGCAAAGACTTCTGAACAAGGAAGGGCAAAAAGTAGAGACTGAAAACAAAAACAAACCAGTCAGCCAAACAAAGCGCAACTTACATAGCCTGAGCCATGATTTCTCAACTGATGATGTTGGCATAGACACAAAGCCTGAAGTGACAATACGCAGGATAAGAAAACCACTCTTCCTACCTAGAGGCATTCACTGGTGTGAGAGGCCTAGACACAAAAATATATCTAGTTAAATCCTGCCTTTATACATGAAAGTAACTTGAGAAATGGCAAGCGAATCCCACTGGAAACAGACAGTTCCCTTGCACACCTTGAAAGCCGGTTCTCACCAAGTGGTTGCTGTGTTCGAGGCTGGGATCTGAGCAAGTGGGTGGCATTCATTGCTCTGCTATTCACACCCTTATCACCTCAGCCACAGCTCCTCAACCGCCACTGCCATCAGCTTCCCTGCCTCCCATGGGAAAGGTCCAACACATGGACGTGAGCCAGTCAGTATGTGATATACTCTCCATTTTGCCCATGTTTGTGAGAGCAGGGGAAGGAGAAATGCTCCTGACTCACGCCATGGGCACGGTAGAGCAGGGTGGGAGAGATGGAAGTGTTCAAGGCCAGGTCAGACGGGGCTTGGAGCAACCTGCTCTAGTGGAAGGTGTCCCTGCCCATGGCAGGGGGTTGGAACTGGATGAGCTTTAAGGTCCATTCCAACCCAAACCAGGCTGGGATACCATGAAGGCGTTTTCAATACTGCCAGAAGTTTTACAATTGCTTTATGAGATTTTGGAGTTTCCAGGACGAAGAGCTTCAGAAGTAAGTCCAATCCCCCTCTGGCAAGCACAGTCCTGCTTTCTGAAATGAGCCAGGACAGACATTCACACCTGGACAGTTCTTGCCTTCGCTAAGCATGCTTGACGGCACAGTGAAACAGCATTGAAGGGTCACCCTCATTCGCTCCCACGCTTCCCTGTTGCAAGATTTCCTTTAACCAGAGCAAAATGTAGAAGAAGGAAACAGGAGTGAGGCTCAGGGGTTAGGAATAGCTCCAAGAAGCTGAAGAAACATTAAGAGAACTCAGGCATTACAAGTTACTGCAGACACAAGGCCCTTTAGTAACAACCTCAACATCTATGTCTTATGTCGCACCAAATACAATACTGGAGGATTTAATACACAGGGTTTAGGGCACACTTAATAGTTATTACTGAACACAACTGAACAGATGAGAATGGCAAGCTATTTGATGGCTAGATTGCTTCCAAATGGAACTAGATTCCTACTTCATCAAGCTAAAACAAATGCTAATACCCGCCTTTTTCTTTTGTTAATTAAATTAGTGGTGGCTGAAAAAAGCCAAAGATTTGCCCACACAAAATATGTTCTGCTCTAGCAAATTCCAAAGGAGCTTTGGGCAGATTTAATGTGGACCTGGCTGATGAAACAAGTCCAATGCAGTAAGGTCCCCCCATTAGCTGGTAAAGTAACACAGGCAACATCACACCAACTACAGCTCTTCATTCCAAACCATTGACTTTGCAATGCTTTGACAGACACCCAATTTCACTGCCAAGGGCACAGACAAAAACATGCCTGAGACTGTGCAGTGGCAACAGAGGAACTCCTTGAATGGTTTCTGTTGGACTCAGAACTTGGAGAGAAAGGAGGATTGTGAAGAACATCCTCTGAAAGATCCCTTAGGCTTCCATACACAAATATATACATGCTCAACCTTTTACGAAGACATGTTATACCCCACAAACACACTATTCTATTAGGGAAACGGAGGGCAAGGCAGGAAGATGAAAGGTATCACTGTGCAACTGAGTTTTATACAGGTGTGCCTCACCAGTTTAACTTATTTGCATTACCAAGTTAGTCAGAAGCCCTGCTGGAAGGGACCTTAAAGCTCACCCAGTTCCAACCCCTGCCACAGGAAGGGACACCTTCCACTAGAGCAGGTTGCTCCAAGCTCTGTCCAGCCAGGCCTTGTTTCCATACACATTAGAGCCTATAAACATACAATGAAAAAGTTATTCTGACCCCTGCCCATTGATCAATCCCTTTGACCAAAAATGCTGTAGCCAGCTGAAGGTCAAAGAGGCAAAAGTGCCAAGAGCCAAGGAGCACCAGAGTGGGATTACAACTGCAGCACCCTCTCATACAGAACATATTCTTCCTCTGCCAAGCATCAGATGCGAGACAGCCCAAGGCAGCAGTGGGCTGCGCAAAACGATGAGGTCAGTGAAGGAAGCAATTGCAGATTAATACAATACCGGGTGCAGCCTCCCAGGAACACCCACGAGAGGGCAGCATGTGCCAGCATATGGAAAACGCACCCACCAGGAGCATAATCACAGAATGCTTTGTGTTGGAAGGGACTTTCGGAGCTGATCTGGTCCAACCCCCCTGCAATGAGCAAGAACATCTTCAACTAGATCAGGTTGCTCAGAACCACATCCGGCCTGCCCTGGAATGTCTACAGGGATGGGGAATCCACCACCTCTCTGGGTAACCTGTGCCAGTGTCTTACCACACTCATTGTAAAGAATTCCTTCCTCACATCAACCTGAATCTCCCTCTCTTGGTTTAAAACCATCACCCCCCATCCTGCTGCAACAGGCCCTGATAGAAAGTCTCTCCCCATCTTTCTTATAGGCCCCTCTTAACAGCTGAAAGGCTGCAATAAGGTTTCCCTGGAGTTTTCTCCTCTCTAGGCTGCACAACCACAAATCTTCATCCTTTCCTCATAGCAGAGGTGATCCAATCCTCCGATTATTGTGGCCGTTTCCAACACAACCATGTCTCTCCTGCACTGAGGACTCCAGAGCTGGATACATTTTCCAGATGGGGGGCTCACTACAGCAGAGGGGCAGAATCCCCTGCCTTGACCTGCTGGCCATGCTGCCTTGGATGATACAAGGAAGATACAATTGGCTTTGCGGGTTGCAAGCACACACATGCTAAAATATCCCGTCTTTCCAAAAGGAAAACTTCATGCAGGCATGGGAAAGCTACATATCTGCAGAGGGCTGTGAACCACAAGCTCTTGTCTACTTGGGCACTGGAATACTCAAGGAAAGGATTAGCCTGAAGGTGCAGGAATTAGCACCAGAGTTTGGCATGTGATGCTTTGGGATACAGTTCCAACACTGAATCATGGAATGGTTTGGGATGGAAAGGACCCAAAAGCTCATCTAATTCCAAACCCCTGCTGTGTGCAGGGACACCCTCCACTAGAGCAGGTTGCTCCAAGCCCCATCCAACCTGTCCTCGAATACTACCAGGAATGGGGTAGCCACAGCTTCTCTAGGGAAAATTTGCCAGCACGTCAGCACCCTCACAGGGATGAGCAGGAAAGAGATGTAGTCCTCCAACTCCAAAATATGTTGAACCATACCACTGATGTGTATGTAAAGAGCTCAGACCTACACTTTCATTCATGTGTTCCTGATAAAGCAACTGTAGAGGTGTTCTGGTTTATCTTCTACAATCACCCAGGAACAGAAGTGCTCACAACAATACCTTCCCTGAGGGCCACAGGTCACAGCATCGAGGAAATGCCTGGAGAGTTCTTGTGCTTTGTGAATGGGATGGAATCTGTTCATCAACAGTCTCTTGTCTGATTATCATCAGCAGCAAAATGCCACAGCATATTATAGTGCCAAGCACCTATAGTGCAAAAGCCTGCTGTTGTAACTGCTACCTTCTGACAAAAAAGTCAGGGTGCAAATAGAAGCACTCCTTTAAAAACTCAAGGCTTTCACCATTCTCCCTGAGGCCTGATGCTAAGTCATGTGCAGTTCCTGGAAGACATCATACTTACTAAAGTCTCAAATGATGGAAAGAAACATCATCCTGCTCCAGCCATGGCCCCTTGTCAAACTTCAGGTACTCGATGTCTTCAACGACCTGGAATCAGTAAACAAAAGTCACATCTGAGAGGTGGTGTGATCATGAACATGATTATCAATGCACATGCCCCCCAAAATCAATGGAATGATCAAAATCTACTATTCAGTCACCCAGCAAAAACACTTAGCTGTTAAAGCTGTATTCACAATGCCAGGTTTTGGAGCAAACACATTATCTCCCAGTCATGTTTCTTCCCTGGGCAAGCACATAGAAGCCAGCATCAGAGCTGCTGGTGCTTTCAGCATCGGTCAGCAGAGGTTGGCAGCAAATACATCACCTGAGAGGTCACTTATTTCCAAATACTTCCCTCTTACCTTCTTCAAACTGCTGCTGGGATTGAAAGACAGAAGGGACAGCCCCAATGCTAAGGCAGAATGAGAATGGGAGTAAGTCTAAATTTAACCATCTTGTGTTGCAAACAAAAACCACAGAATCAGAGAATGGCAATGGTTGGAAGGGACCTTAAAGCTCATCCAGTTCCAAACCCCCGCCATGAGCAGGGACACCTTCCACTAGAGCAGGCTGCTCCAACCCCCTGTGTCCAACCTGGCCTTCAACACTGCCAGGGATGGGGCAGCCACAGCTTCTCTGGGCACCCTGTGCCAGCGCCTCAGCACCCTCACAGGGAAGAACTTCTGCCTAAGAGCTCATCTCAGTCTCCTCTCTGGCAGGTTAAAGCCATTCCCCTTGTCCTGTCCCTACAGGCCCTTGTCCAAAGCCCCTCTCCAGGTTTCCTGCAGCCCCTTTAGGCACTGGAGCTGCTCTGAGGTCTCCCCTTAAGGAGCGTTCTCTTGTCCAGGCTGAAGCAGCCCAGCTCTCTCAGCCTGACTCCAGAGCAGAGCTGCTCCAGCCCTTGCAGCATCTCCATGGCCTCCTTTGGACTTGCTCCAACAGCTCCATGTCCCTCCTGTGCTGTTGTGCCAGAGCTGGATTAGGACTGCAGGTGGGGTCTCCCTAGAGCTCAGGAGAGGGGCATACTCCCCTCCCCAAGCTGCTGCTTACGCTGAGTAAAGCCCATCATGCTACATAAGAAACCTGTTTATTGTTTTGTTCTGTTTCAACAAGGTTGTAGAGCAATCATGGCAACTGCTTCTTGAGTTGCTGTGTGTGGTTCACAGCACAGAAACTGAGGCATATTTCAGGCTGGAAAACTTAAACACCTTGAAAGTAGCCATCCAAAAGCTCAGTTTCATCAGTCATCAGGACCTACCCATGCATGCAACCTGTGCAGAAAGGCAAAACTCCCAGCTCAGCACTCGGAACCATCCAAACGTGGAACACCAGCTCAGCAAACCATTCCTTCAGCATCCCCAAACTTCTCAATCCCATGTTTGAGCTTTATTTACAGCCTGGCTCCATTGGAAAACAGATCTTTGCTGGTTCACTGGGGAACTGCCTCACACGAGCCTGAGGTTATCAAACACAACTGAGTAGATACGAAGGAAACCTGAACTAGTATTGGGACGATGCGCTTCAGATGCACAATGAGGTGCAGATACTACGTAGAAGCTACTCGGGAAGGAGTGGGTTGTTACAGCTCCAAACATCACTTCTCAGAGGCCTTTTCCAGAAGGAAAGGATAAAACAAGGAGGTCAGGACCAAAATCCTGATAACACATTGTGAACCCATTAATGACAAGTAAGCAGATGCCAGGAATACAGTGACAGAAAAAGAAATGAAAAATGCTATTCCTTACTGCACATTAAGTCCACTATAATTATTCCCTGCAATCACAGCAAACACTAAATGCCATTTATTACCACTTCAAAGGCAATAACAAAGTGCTATTACAAAGTAGGCTTGACTATAAAGGTTCACTTTATTACCAGTATTGGTTTTATGGTAAGAAATAACAGCTTAGAGCTATGACTGCATTAGCATTTTCCTTGAGGTATTCGTAGCTCTTAAATGCTAATTTTTCTGATATTTAAAAACCTATGGTTGACAGGACATCACTAAGAAGGCAAAATTTCAGGCAAGTACAGATGTTCTTGAACCATTTTTGATGTCTTACAAAGAGGCAAGTTGCAAGTCAGATGCTGGAGTTGAGAGCACAGGAAACGTACTCTTCACATGAAGTAAAAAGACAACAAAACTACCCACTGATGGAAAAATCCCAGCCTGGTTTGGAAGGAACCTTAAAGCTCACCCAGTTCCAACCACCTGCCACAGGCAGGGACACCTTCCACTAGAGCAGGTTGCTCCAACACCCTGTGTCCAACTTGGCCTTCAACACTGCCAGGGATGCGGCAGCCACAGTTTCTCTGGCCACCCTGTGCCAGCACCTCAGCACCCTCACAGGGAAGAGCTTCTGCCTAAGAGCTCATCTCAGTCTCCTCTCTGGCAGGTTAAAGCCGTTCCCCTTGTCCTGTCCCTACAGGCCCTTGTCCAAAGCCCCTCTCCAGGTTTCCTGTAGCCCCTTTAGGCACTGGAGCTGCTCTAAGGTCTCCCCTTAAGGAGCCTTCTCTTCTCCAGGCTGAACCAGACCAGATCTCACAGCCTGGCTCCGGAGCAGAGCTGCTCCAGCCCTTGGGGCATATTTGTGGCCCTTCTCTGAACTCACTCTAACACACACCTCTCTTGCGTTGGTGGCTGGACTGATATCCTAAAGCAATATCATCAGTCTCATATTTCTTTTCCCCTCTAACAGAGGAAAGGAGAGCATGAAGTGGACTCTAGAAGAATTATCAGAGTTTTCAAACAAGAAACAGAGGATAAAAATACTAAAATCAGCAAGGTATTTTTAGTGCAAACTGAGATCCTTATTGCTGCTACAGAGTTCAAGTAGGGACTCACTATGGACCATTCATCCCTAGAACTGAAAAGGGCCCATGACAAACCTGTCTCAAATTACACAAAGCTTGCTGCTTTTAACAGCAGGGGACAGCAGCTACAGAGAAAAGTGGAGAAGCAAAAAGCTTGTTACCACTAGTAACTCTCCATAAACAAGAATGTTTGCTGAAATAAGGGAAATGTATTACACCTACTCCAAAAACTAACACACTTATGTAAGAGGAAGCATTGATCTCGTGTAAATCCTGCCACATAAGAGATGGCTTATTTCTAGCAGTGAGAAGGCAATTTATCTGGCTTGGTCCAGGGCTAAAGTGTGTGGCAAAACCATTTGGAGACAGAATAATAGTTTAGATACCATGTGCTACGTCATACAGATGACCGACCCAAGGTTACAGAGCTAGTAACAGCTTTGGATATCCAGCTCTTTGCTATAACCAAAACATTAGATAACAGCTACCTTATCACACAGGAACCTCTGCACCAACCTGGGTCATAGGAAGCTGCACAATGACAGAAGCCAACCCAGACAGACCTTAGACTGGAAGACAAAGTCTCAGATGAATGCTGGGGATGACTCACCTCTTTCCATTGTGTCCTCTTTACATTTCAGTCTTAGAAGTTTAACAACTGATCAGTATACATAGCAAACTCTTACCTTCTCCACATCCTCTGCCTCACTTGCTGTGTACTGCAGAATTTCACTGGTCTCACTGCAAAGAAGAGAAAGAGTGAATTGCCCTGATCTCATTGCTCTACCCATCCTCTCCCCCTGCTCCAAAATGAAGCAGAAATGAAGTGAAAAGGCCCAAACACAGAACCAGAATCATTATTTCAGAGTGCTTATGGAAGCCTTGTGGCTGAATTCCTATCAGACCCATAAGTTGCTTCTTGCCTGGTGGAAAATTGCTTTTAAAGGACAAATGGCTTATGGTACCTACAGAGTTTCAGTTCAAATTTGAAAATTAACCAAAATTCCACCTATTCCTTTGTTTCCATTTCACTATTGGGGATACTTGGTTGGCCTCAATTACAATTCCCAATCTATCTGAAGCCAAGTGAAACTTTCAACAAGTCTAACTCCAAGCTTCCATAGACCTTTTTAGAAGCACATTAATACTTGGGGGTAATTTTTAAGAGAAGAATAGCTTCATTCATCATTATTTACCATGACTGAGCTAACTCAACCAATATCACCGCAGGCAGCAGGATCTGTAAGTACAGGAGCACTTAAAAAAGGTTAAGAGCTTCCTGGTTAAAATGATTATTTTCTTATTCATACAGCATGCAAGTGTCACTTGCAGAGCAGGGCCACAACAGGAGTTCCTATATGAACATGTTTCACTACTACACACTCACAGGCACCCTCAGTAACATGAAAGCTCATCCAGCTCCAACCCCTTTCACAGGCAGGGACACCTTCCACTAGAGCAGGTTGCTCCAAGCCCCTGTGTCCAACCTGGCCTTCAACACTGCCAGGGATGGGGCAGCCACAGCTTCTCTGGCCACCCTGTGCCAGCGCCTCAGCACCCTCACAGGGAAGAGCTTCTGCCTAAGAGCTCATCTCAGTCTCCCCTCTGGCAGGTTAAAGCCATTCACCTTGTCCTGTCCCTGCAGGCCCTTGTCCAAAGCCCCTCTCCAGGTTTCTTGTAGCCCATTTAGGCACTGGAATTGCTCTAAGGTCTCCCCTTCAGGGGTCTTTGTCTTCTCCAGGCTGAACCAGCCCAGCCCTTTCAGCCTGGCTTCAGAGCAGAGCTGCTTCAAAACCTGCTCCAAGAGTTGACCCAAACCTGCACCAGTTGCCATGGAAAACTGTCCCTTTAGCTAACAAAAACTGAAGAGAAAACAAAAGAGCTGCCAAATTTTCAGTGGATCATACACCACACTGAAAAGTTGAAGAGCATGGAGGCTTCTGCTTAGCCCAAGCACTCCCAAGTTCAATCAGATTAAAGCCAGCAACTTGGTTGCTCTAAGTAGTCACAGTATCAAACGACTCATAATTGCAGCAGGCCAGACTAGTTCCTGGTCTGCATGGACACTGGTCAGTCAAAACTGCTCTAGTAAGAAAGTTCATTTATAATTACTTGGTTTGAGCCCTTTTTTTGACTCTGCAGCTTCTTAGAGCTTTCACTAAGACCAAAGAGCTGCTCAGTGGAGGCAGTATTGGATATGAAAGAGAACATCAGGAATCTTAAAGTCCAGGAAAGCCTATTTTAATCAAATTTTGGTCATCCTCAAGAGTTACAGAATCAACTTCTTAGTCTGCCCAAAGACTACCAGCCTTTAGATCACTTCAGCAAACAGTTAAAGACAGTTGAAGCTTGGATATATTTATCCAATAAACAAGCCAGCAGTGAGGTCCAGAGATGCACAAAGCTGACGCTTTGCACCATCACAACTCCCCTACATCAAGAGGGCAGAGACATCCTTCAGATCCAAGCACAATGATTGATCTGACAAGTTCCTGCAAGCCCATCTGCCAAGGAAGGTGCTAACCAGAGGGTGTTTGCCTTCCAAGTGCACTGACCATGTAGAGACAAAGGGGAAAGAGTTGAAATCACAGCAGGACCACCTCTAGCTTTAGCCTCGTGCAACACCGCTTGGTTTGATTCAAAGAACAAGCAGCATTTTTCTACTCACCAATACATTCAAACCAATTCTCCCCTAGGGGGGATGACAGACTCAAGACTTCCCACCCTTCCTCTCCATCCTTAGCCCATCATTCCCTTCTTGAGAGCCATGTGCTGGCCGCTAGCACACTGGGATGCAGGTGACCATACATCACACCACCTTGTGTGAATGGCAAGCTCTGTACAAAGTTATTCAGTCAACTGCTGACAGTGCAGTTAAACTGGGAGATGGAGCAAGAAAGCAAGGGGGAAACAAGCAGGCCACAACATACCCGAAGATCTACTTACACCTAAGTGTAACTCAGTCAGCTTCATGCACACATGAACCTTGAGTGATTACAGATTTCATGTATAGTAGGCCTGGCTCTGCGACCTGTTAGAGTTTTCCTTCCAGAAAGCTATTTGTTTAGGAATTTTAGGATAATTTGATTTTGGATAGTGCTCTTTCATAATAACTGGGAGAGCTGGCAAACTGCAATAGTCTCATCTCAAGTTCACAGAGCACACATTCTAACAGGGAAGCAAGAGAACGCCAGGGGAGCCCAGCATAAAGCATCTTCACTCTCAGAACAGGTAGCAGCCCAGTCTTTAATTACCAGCACTAAAAAGTTCATCAAACCCTTTTCAATGTGGAAGGCTATCAGGGGTATGCCTCAGGAGGCGGAGAACCAAAGCTAGAAGAGGGAACAGGCCCTTCCCTGATAATCTTCCTATTCCTCCATACCACTACCAAGAAACAGCCAAACCTATGCCAACTGAAAGGAAATTTTAGGAGAGAAAGCATCCAAACGCTCCCAAAAGACCTTGGATTGCATCACACTCTCCTAAGGTCATGCAAACACGCAGCTACAGCTATGGCATTTTGGACATCATGCCAGGAGAGCATTCCAACCACTCCTGCAAGCTAACAGAATGAAAAGTGTTGATGCCAAACACAAGCTGAGTACTGTCAGAGACAGAACTTGGTTTTGCAGGGCAAACACACCAGCTTTGCTCCTGAATTGCTCTTTTAACTATATACAAGTTGATGCTTCTTTGTATCTGACTCTGTGACAGCAAAGTTGTAATGCCCCAAGCCAGCAGGATGAAACCTTACTGCAGATGAGGGCTCCTTAGATTTGTACCATACAGATCAATGAAATCCAATTTACTATTGCACAACACTTTCCCTACTCTGAACCCATTAAGAATCAAAGCACTGTTTTGGAAGGCTCACGCCTAAAATGACTTCATTTTTAAGCTTCCAACCTTGTAACAGTGGCATCAGGCTTCTCAGTGCCAGAGGTAACTACACACAAGAACACAGTTATGATGCCATGAATGTGATACCACATTAAGAAATAACGTTGTACATGGCACAAGGAGGATTTCTCACACGACATGAGTTTACTTACTTCTATTGGCAGAGATCTGAGGATCTGCACACATTTTACTCAAAGACATAAGAGACAAAACATTTGGGTTTGCTCACCTGATCTCTGGTAAGAAGGTTTTCTTGTAAGCATCCTCAATGTGCTGGAGATAGGAAGGAGACACTTTTTTCTCATATGGCTAAAAACGAAGCAGAAGAAAACAAGGTTGTAAAATGAGTTTTCTTTCCTCTCACACCAGTACAGACACCAGCCTAAGCAGAAAGTGCTGCGACGCCAGCTTGCCCTGTATTAGCAGTCAAACATCCAAGTGAACCACATACACATTAATGGATGTTAGAAGAATGAAGACATTTGGAGTATTCAGAATCTCTTATGTGGCATTAAATATTGAAAGTGCCCTAAAAAACAAGGCAGTTTGTGTTAATCGCTACTTTGCTGCTTTGCCCTGCACTGCTACAGCCATGGTTTGAATGGCCAGCCACAGAATTATGACCCTTCTCATATGCTTGTGAATCTAGAAAGGGAAAAGCAGGTTCAAGGGAAGAATGTCAAAATGAAAAGGTTTCTAGCAATTTCAGACTGTAGCAGGAAACATCTTATTTTCCTTGCGTTCACATAAGGTAAGAGAACTATACATCACCAGCATCAAAAATCTCAGCTTTCTAAGGCCTGAGCAACCCTACCTACTTGTATGCTCAAGGAAGTCATATCCAGAAAACTGCAGACTCTCAGTTTGCCTTTCCAATAAGAGGGCAAATGTGCCCTTGGAGCAGCTTCCAGTGCCTAAAGGGGCCAGACGAGTGGGAAACCACCCCCTGCAAAAGCTTTTCTTTTAATTACATGGATATCATACATACTGTCAAACAGTTTCTCTTCCACACAATGTAGTTTAATGCCACATTTGCAAAACTCCAAGAATTTCTCTAATCTACCATTCCTTCAGTTCAATCCTAAAATTTAAGTACATTTCCTGCTTGAAATGCTCATCCAAGATGCCCATCATGTTGGAATGATCTGTGTCTGTTAGTTGGCTTTTCTTTTTCCACTCCTCTGCAACAACAGCATACTGAATACCCAACACTTCATCCACTGAGAAGGCAGAATTCCCCAAAATACCAGCCTTAAACAAGCACTACAGTCTTCAGCAATACCACTGACATAAAAAGTTACACCAGCAATTTCTGCCTAAAGGTCCCAAAACTGCCATCAAAATTTGTGTTCACAAGAGCAAAGAAATTGCAGGTCCATTGAATCCCAGACTGCTTGGGGTTGGAATTTGGGAACCTTAAAGCTCATTCAGTCCCAACCACCTGCCACGGGGGCAGGGACACCTTCCACTAGAGCAGGGTCCTCCAAGCCCCTGTGTCCAACCTGGCCTCCAACACTGCCAGAGAAGGGGCAGCCACAGCTTCTCTGAGCACCTGTGCCAGCACCTCAGCACCCTCACAGGGAAGAGCTTTCAAACAAAGATCTTTCCAACACAGGGTTTTCAGACCTGTGTTGATATTAATGTGTGGGTCACTTGTGATCAGCAAATCCAGTTCATTTTCTGAGATGAAGAAAATTACTGCTTGGTGCTTTTGTGCTAACACAGCAAAATAACCCATTTTAAACTTAAAACTAACGTTCTATAGGTATTCCATGAGACAGAAAATCTAGGGTGCTTTTTGGCTAGTGTAATAAAATGATCCTTGTTAGGGTGACCTTGTAGCAGTTTCGTTTGCAGTTTCCTGCTCATTTAAGAGGGAAGCTGGTGATTGCTGAAGTGAATTCAAAGCCATAAATGTAAGGCTGCCCTTGCTGCTTCATTATCTGCGTGGCTGGCGTTGCTTAGTTTGCTGCCTGAGTGATTCTGCCCTTCTGCCCTCCAGCAGTTTAGACAATGACTGAATGTGTCTGTGCTTTAATGAACAAGATATTGCTCCTGATGGGAAAACCACAGCTTTTCAATTTTAGCAACTTCAGTAACAGAAAATGCATTGAGGGCTGGAGCCTCTGCTCTCTGAAGCCAGGCTGAGAGAGCTGGGCTGCTTCAGCCTGGAGAAGAGAAAGCTGTAGTAAGACTTTAAAGCAGATTCCAGTGCCTAAAGGGGCTACAGGAAACCTGGAGAGGGGCTTTGGACAAGGGCCTGTAGGGACAGGACAAGGGGAATGGCTTTAACCTGCCAGAGGGGAGACTGAGATGAGCTCTTGGGCAGTTCTTCCCTGTGAGGGTGCTGAGGTGCTGGCACAGGGTGCCCAGAGAAGCTGTGGCTGCCCCATCCCTGGCAGTGTTGAAGGCCAGGTTGGACACAGGGGTTTGGAGTAAGCTGCTCTAGTGGAAGGTGTCCCTGCCCATGGCAGCGGTTGGAGCTGGATGAGCTTTAAGGTCCCTTCCAACCGAAACCGTTCTCTGATTCTATAAAACCCCACAGGACTTAAGCACAAGGGCACAACTACAAACAGACAGTAACAGGCAGTAGTAGCAGCAAGAGGTAAAATTACCTCGCCTTCCTCTTGAATCCTCTTCTGTACCTCTGGAACGGGTACATCTATATAAATGACCAAGTGAGGCGGCAGGAATTCACAAATGCTGATCTCTTTGATCTCCTTGTAGTGATCAAGACCTATATAAAATACAAAACCAAACACACTGCAGAGCTAAAGGCAACCCAGCTGAAGATTTACTGCAAATGAGGACAAGTGCAACAGGAACAGCATTAAAATTATAACCTACTGGGTTATGAACCTACAATCATTTTTGGAGTGGTTTTCATTGCTTGCGTAGACCACAAAGCTATTGAGCAACAGCAGACCTCCTCTCCAAAATCACAACCACCAGACTCCACTTTGGAGGACAGAAGTAGAGAACGTCACCTTCCCATACAGAAAAATGGATCTAAAGAGGAATAGGTTGGGTCTGTGCAATTGGGTACTTCTACCATATAGAGACAACTCCTCTTTCCCACAGTCCTGCATCCAGCTCTGGGGCCCCCAACATAGAATCACAGAATAGTTAGGGTTGGAAAGGACCTTAAGATCATCTAGTTCCACCCCCCCTTGCCATGGGCAGGGCCACCTCACACTAAACCATGCCACCCAAGGCTTCGTCTAACCTGGCCTTGAACGCTGCCAGGGAAGAAGCATTCACACCTTCTGTGGGCAACCCATTCCAGTGCCTCACCACCCTAACAGAAAAGGATTTCCTCCTTATATCCAATCTTAACTTCCCCTGTTTGAACCCGTTACCCCTTGTCCTGTCACTACAGTCCCTAATGAACATAGGAAGCATATGGAGCTGTTGGAGTGAGTCCCCTCCAGGCAGACCTTAGAGCAGCTCCAGTGCCTAAAGGGGTTTCAAGAAACCTGGAGAGGGGCTTTGGACAAGGGCCTGTAGGGATGGGACAAGGGGAATGGCTTTAACCTGCCAGGGGGCAGACTGAGATGAGCTCTCAGGCAGAAGCTCTTCCCTGTGAGGGTGCTGAGGCGCTGGCACAGGGTGGCCAGAGAAGCTGTGGCTGCCCCATCCCTGGCAGTGTTGAAGGCCAGGTTGAGCACAGGGGCTTGGAGCAACCTGCTCTAGTGGAAGGTGTCCCTGCCTGTGGCAGGGGGTTGGAGCTGGATAAGTTTTATGGTCCCTTCCAGCCCAAACAATCCTGTAATTCTATGATAAGCAGAACCAAAGTGTTGAATAAAATCTCATGGCTTGAGATTAGTCCTTGATGCCTTAAACAGCAAGATACTAAGCACCTTACGAACAACTCCAAATGTTTAAAAGGAATCCATCTTCCCAGCAGGCATTCTTATTTCTTTTTTGGAGAACTGACTTATCACACTTCAGAGATGAGTGCAAGGAACTTACATCGCTTGTGGATATAGCCTTGTTTGAACATTGCATCCAGGAACACAAAGTCACTGTAGGGAGACCGCTCCAACACCACACCTTGTCCTGCAATGGAAGGGAGTTTCCAGTCAACACAGCTCAAAGAGATGGAAAATTAGAAACAGTACTGCTCTTACAGCCTATTTTCTGAATGCCTTTGTTAAACAAAACAGAAGAATAAGGTTTTTGTTCACAGAAACACATTGGGTACGTGTGCAGAACATGCCTGTCTCACTCATGTACTCTTCTCTGCCCATCAGAAGTACTATTGTATTTAAGGAGTACATTTATGTGCCTGAAACTTTCTGGCATTCACAGCTTTTGACCCTTTTCAGAAAACATTTCCTAAAGAACAAGTAGCAGGCACAGGAAATCCTCTTGCACAAGAAGACACTAAATTACAACAATACAATGACAATACAGTACTTAATGGAAACCAAAAGAATGAACCAAAGACACTATCAGGAACCAAGCCTAGGGAGAGATTTAGAAGGGCTGTAGAACCCACAGCTATCCTGGCACATTTAAAATGTCTTTTTGAAAATAAAGATCAGGGACTGAGCTTTATTTTCCAGAGGAGGCCATGAGGATGATCAGGGCTGGAGCACCTCTCACATGAAGACAGGCTGAGAAAACTGGAAGTGTTCAGCCTGGAGAAGAGAACGCCCCATGGCAGGGGGTTGGAACTGAATGATTTTAAGGTCCTTTCCAACCCAATCCAGTCTATGATTGCCAAAGAACTAATTAAATTAGTAATTGGCATTTCCTTTGGTAGAAAGGACATAAGATACCTTCTAATAGAGAATGTGCAAGATGGTTTTCTAAATGGGCTGTTAATTTGTACTAAGGGTAAGGGGGAAATATAAAAAGCTTAAGAATATGAGAACCTTTCATTCTAAAACACAAATCACAGAATAACGGAATGGTTCAGGTTGGAAGTGACCCAACGCAGGGCTCATCCAGTTCCAACCCCTGCCATGGGCAGGGACACCTTCCACTAGAGCAGGTTGCTCCAAGCCCCTGTGTCCAACTTGGCCTTGAACACTGCCAGGGATGGGGCAGCCACAGCTTCTCTGGGCACCCTGTGCCAGCACCACAGCACCCTCACAGGGAAGAACTGCTTTGTATCTAACCTGAATTTCCCCTGTTTCAGTTTGAACCCATCACCCCTTGTCCTGTCACTACAATTCCTGATGAAGAGTCCCTCTCTGCATCCTTGTAGCCCCCTCCAGACACTGGAAGCTACTAGCAAAGCCCTTCAAAGCAGCTTACTCACACCTTGTACTCAGAAGTTAGTTCAGAACTGGAATTTATCTACTGCGAAGTCTAACCTGTGCTCAGCAGATGCTCCAAGGCATCAGCATACTGCAAAACACGATTGCCAAACAGCCAGGCCTGCAGCCGATATGAGTGTCCATCAGAGCATTTGGGGTCATTGTAAAACCTCTCCAGGTTACAGAAACCATTAAACTTCTCAGGCAGCAGTGTTCCATCTCCTGTGATCCTGTTCAGGTAATGAATGTCAGCTTCCGGGAAATATTTCATGCCTGATAAAATAGAAACCACCACATCAGAAGAACTCATTTACTGCAAGCATCTATTCACTTGATTTAAATGTACAGCTGGGACTCAAAACAGCTCTTGAGAACAGCCCCAAATCCTTCGGTCAATCACATGACAGAAGGCAGACAAACCCTTATTTGAACTATTGCCACCTTTCACCTCACTCATGAGAGCTGAGCTATGCTCTAAACCAAAGCTTTTTGCCACCCATCCTCTGATCACCTTGATGCTCTGCATAGATCCATGCAGAAAATCCTACTTCTCAAGGAGCTCAGTGAGACAAGTATCCCACAGATCCAACAAACAACCTGTTGTCATCTCAAGCCTCACCAACATTCTCTTCTCCCCTCCACTACAAGCCCTCCTCATGAACTGTGGCATCACCTAAGAATTTGCTAGTTAGGAACTGCTGATTCAGTGAACTTGTTTTATGCAAAAATCCTACTATTAAATCCTATCAGTTGTTAGAGAAGTAGGCCAAAGCAGTACCTAGTTTTTCTGCTATCTGTTGTGCAAGCTTGCCCTTCCCAGAAGATAAGTTCCCCTCCACTGTAAAGACCTTGCTGTATTCAGTGAACCTCTTTGTAGCTCTGTCTCCCAACATATAAGCCAGCCACCCATACTCCAGGTTCTGCATGGGGCTGAGATGGATTCTTGCCTGAAAGAAAACACAAACAACACAGCATGTTTCACTTTTCTCACCTGAAAAGTGGGGCTTTTACAGCCCTTCTGCAGGAGGATAAGCACTCACACACTTAAGACAAGGGGTTTCCATAGAGGAAGTTAGTGCTGCCACTTAAGCTTAGCAGCTGAGGCTGTATTTAGGCTGAAAAACTCTTTAAGAACAGGTGAAAACAACCATTTTCAGTGCTTTTTAAACCTGAAGCCAGAACTCTGCTCTGGAATGCACCCAATGACTGAAAGTCCCCAGGCTTCCTGAAGGCTATGGATACACGACGCGACCTCCATTCTCAAGGGAGATACTGCAGTAGGCTTTTGCTTGTATTGATGCTTGTTGGTGGGTGTATGTTAACATCAAACCCTTTCGCAGTCTCTCAGGAGGGTTATAGCTTCAGTTCTGCACAACACAGCTCTTTATGAGTGAAAACACACATCCACCTGGCATGTAAACCCAGATAGATCCTCACTGTGCCCTGCTCAGAAACGCCACCCTCATAACAACCAAATAACCCTTTTTCTAAGCAATGTAAAGGCCTCGCTTACACACATGAGCTTTTACTGCATATTCTGCTTACACCAAAGACCCCATTCACCAGCTAATCACAACACTCCACTCTAGGCATTATCTTATGTCTCCACCTTAAACCTGAAGGAGGGGAACGTCCCCTCCTCACGGGCACCTCCACAACAGAACCAGCCCCACAGACACACGGCCCCCAGAGCTGCAATCCCGCTCCTACGGGGGACGAACCAGCGCCACCACCACCACCACAGACCCCCGGCAGGCGCCATCCCCGCGGGGGCACCCCAAGGTGAGCCCGTCCGCAGGCCGCAGCGGCCATGGCAGCCGCACAGACCGCATGAACCACCCCTACTCGGCCGCTCCCGCTCACCGCCGGTAGCGCAGCGCTCCCCGGGCGGCCCCGGGCGGCGGCAGCCGCAGCAGGGCGCAGCTTCCCCAGCCACAAGGACATGGCAGCGCTGAAGGGACGCGGCCGCGATCGGCGCGACACGAAGGGAGGGCGCAGCGGGATGACGTCAAGGAAGAGAGGCGGGGCGTAGCATCCATGGAGGCGCCCCCCTCCTCGCAGGCCACGCCCCCTCCCGTACGCCACGCCCCCTCGGCAGCCGCCCGGCCTGCGCTGGCTCTGCCTGCAGGGATCAGGCAGAGAGAGGAGCATCGTCTCCTATCCCAGCCTCTCCTGAATGCTATGCCCGGCAAACCGTAACATCCCCGTGTCCAGGATCATAGGACCATGGAATGGTTTGGGTTGGCAGGGAGCTTGAAGCTTATCCAGTTCCACTGGTACAACCTGCTCTAGTGGAAGGTGCTCCTGCATGTAGCAGGGGGTTGGAACTGGATGAGCTTTAAGGTCCCTTCAAACCAAACCATTCCATGATTCAGTGTTGGAATTGAATCCCAAAGCATCAAATGCCAAACTCGGGTGCTAATTCATCCACCTTCAAGCTGATCCTTTCCTTGAGTATTCCAATGCCCAAGGAGACAAGACCTACTGGTTCCCAGCCCTCTGGCTTGGGAACTTCTTCCCAAAGTCTCACCTAAATCTCGCCATTGAGCCTTGTTAAATCACTGTCACATTCACTATCAAACTGTGTTAAATCACTGTTTCACATCAACAACCATATTCCTGCTTCTGCCTGATAAGTGATTCACTTCTCCATCCCCAACAGGTAGAATACAGCTATAGTTGTATGGGTTTGCCTGTTCAAGACAGCTCCAGGCACCTGAATTTAGGGCCTTCAGCTCAGGTAGAACATTCACAGTCCCATCCCTGCTGCATTCGGTAGTGCCAGAGACACCCCTGAAGGGTTCCTGGTTTTCAGGCTTGAAACGTGCCGTGCCCCAAGCCTGACTGTGCCTTACAGGAGATTTCTGTGTGCTCAAAACTGCTCTATCTCTGACCCAAAGTCCATCCCAAATGAGTGGAAAGAGGTAAATTAGGTGGTTTTCCCAAAAGAAAGCAGGCAGTAGATGTAGAAGAGAGATGCAGAGCTGCTTTGGAAAGGCATTTGTAGAAGCTAGGGAGGAGAAATCTATGAGGAGAGCATTGCGCGCAAAGACAGGCTGAAATATGTGTGTCCTTCCCAAACCTCAGGGTGTCCATGGGCTCTGCCACCGAGACACTGGGCAGCCCTGCTCCTGCAGCTTCCCTTCTCCATGTGAGGGAGACACCGGAGTGTAATTCCAGGGCTGAGCTGGATCCTTGCCTGCCTTATTGAAGGACGTGACTAAATGACGGGGTCTTTCTATAGGGTCCGTGAAGGTCATAACCAAACATATTAACACGCTTCCCATCAACCTTCCATCAGCTCTGCTGACCTGGGCCGTTTCTGATGCCATTAGCTGCTGCTGCTGCTTTGCCCCTTGGCAAGAAGCGATCAAGTTTCATTTCAACAATTCATCCTTGGGATTTGCAAACAGCTTGAAAACAACCCCAAACAACCCATGTATGTTGCGTCTGGCTCTGGCTTTCTACCCTTAATAGCTCTGAATATCATAGCTGGCACTTCAGGCAAGTCTGCCCAGTGAGATGGTAGGGACAACACATCAGTGGAGGTTGTAGGGCTGTCAGGATGCTGAAGGGGTGACCAGAGTGCCTGAGGGTGATCAGGGTGCCAGAGGACCATGGCTCCATGGACCTGCATGGGAATGAGTGTTGTTCGTATAGCACCAGCAGGTCAAGCTCTGGTGTTGGACACCAATGTCCTGAATAGGGTGTGAATGGGGAGAAGGCTGCATTTGGTGGCGGATATTCATCTTAGGGATGGTGTTAAAGGGGTCTTACAGGATAGAGCAATAAAGCAGCAGGTCCTGTTCACTGTAGGCCCCTGTAAAAGTGAAGCAGGTGGGAATCATGGAATCCCAGACTGGTTTGGGTGAGAAAGGACCTTAAGGCTCATCCAGTTCCAACCCCCTGCCACGGGCAGGGACACCTTCCACTAGAGCAGGTTGCTCCAAGCCCCTATGTCCAACATGGCCTTGAACACTGCCAGGGACAGGGCAGCCACAGCTTCTCTGGGCACCCTGTGCCAGCGCCTCAGCACCCTCATAGGGAAGAAATTCCTCCATATATCCAATCTGAACTTTCCCTGTTTCAGTTTCAATGGTGGCTTTTGGGTGGAAGAGCAAAAGCTTTGGACAGCATTAACTCAAGGCAATGTAAAGTGAGAGGCAACAGGATGACTTTTGCTGGGTCCAGTGAGAAGATTAGGCTCTGGGAGATGGGAAGGCTTATCTTGCACAGCCCTAGAGTCATGGCAGGGTTAGGAAGAAGGGGATGCTTATTCCATGGAGCAGGACAACAAGGGATTTCACTGCATCTTTCTGCTCAGTTTTGCATTCTTCACTGGTGGCTGCATGACAGAACATGTCAGTGTTGAAACAGAGCAGTAATTCAGGTGCCTCCAGTAGCACATGGGGGCTGTGGCTGCTGGGCAGGACTACATCTCCCAGCCTACACCAGCCTGCCTGCGCTGGAAGGCACTGGGGCTGGTGAGGAAGAAAAACACAGTGACCGAGCATCATACACAGAGAGCAGCATCATGAGCCTGTGGGTGAACATTGACCTGCAGCAGAAGTGCATGGAAGCTGCTCTGAAGTGGTCACCTCTGTATAAAGGGCTTGCCCATTGGTGTGGTGGCTGTCAGGGTTTGGTGGGCCCCATGCATGGTGGCTAACAGGCACAGTGACCCATAGGCACGGTGGGAAGCGAGCACTGGGGCAGAATGGCTCTCCGGGCACGGTGACTGTCTGAGCACAGAGCTGTACTGGGTTTGTATGGCAAGGGTTTGGTAGCAAGGGGGCTACAGGGGTGGCTTCTGTGAGAAGCTGCTGGAAGCTTCCCCTGTGTCTGATGGAGCCAATCCCAACCAGCTCCGGGACAATTCCATATCTGGCCAAGCCCAAGCTCACCAGTGATCGTGGCAGCACCTCTGTGATAACATAGCTAAGAAGGGGAAAAACCCCTATGCAATGGCAGCAGAGAAAGGAGTGAGAATATGGGATAGAAACAGCGCTGCAGACACTAAAGTCAGTGCAGATGGAGGCAGGAGGTACTCCAAGTGCCAGAGCAGAGGCTCCCCTGCAGCCCATGGGGAGGCAGACTGTGCCCCACAGCCCATGGAAGTCCATGGGGGAGCAGATATTCACCTGCAGCCCATGGAGGACGACACAACAGAGCAGGGGGATGCCTAAAGCAGCCTGTTCCTGAAGGACTGCACCCTATGGGAGGTTTCCACACTGGAGCAGATTATGAAGAGCTGCAACCTGTGGGAAGAACTCATGTTGGAGAAGTAAGGAGGACTGTCTCCCACGGGAGACATGTTGGAGGAGTGTGAGGAGTCCTCCCCTGAGGAGGAAGGAGCAGCAGAGACAAGGTGTAATGAGATGATCTCCATGACCATAATCCCCATTCCATGTTCTTCTGCGCTGCTGGAGAGGAGGAGGTGGAGACTTTGGGAGTAAAGTGAAGCCTGGGAAGAAGGGAGGGGTGGGAGGTAGGTGTGCTCGAATTTGGGTTTATTTCTCATTATCCTACTCTGATTTGATTAGCAATAAAATTTCCCCAACTTAAGTCTGTTTTTCCCATGATGGTAACTGGTGAGTGATCTCTCCTTGTTCTTATCTAAGCCACGAGCCTTTCCTTATATTCTCTCTCCCCTGCCTTGTATCACTGGAAACAGTGGGAATTCACAGAATTCCAGCCTGATTTTAGTGGGAAGGGACCTTAAGGCTCATCCAGTTCCATGGGCAGGGACACCTTCCACTAGAGCAGGTTGCTCCAAGCCCCTGTGTCCAACCTGGCCTTGAACACTGCCAGGGATGGGGCAGCCACAGCTTCTCTGGGCACCCTGTGCCAGCGCCTCAGCACCCTCACAGGGAAGAGCTTCTGCCTAAGAGCTCATCTCAATCTCCCCTGTTCTGGCAGGTTAAAGCCATTCCCCTTGTCCTGTCCCTACAGGCCCACTACCTCTGGTCACCCCCTGCGGACGGCGACTGCCGTTTCCATAGGGATCCATTGGCTCCCTATGGACGCTGACCCCGGTCCGCGGTTCCAGGGGGCGGTGCGGGGCCGGGGCCGCCCCGTCGCGGTCCTTGTTAAACCCCGCCCCGGGCACGGCCGCCAGCTCTGTGCCGCGGGTTGCGGCCGGTGCCGGTTGCGGGCGGGATGTACGCGGGGAGGAAGAGGAAGAAGCCGGTGCCTAAGCGGTGGGTGCAGCTCGGGTCGGTGCTCTGGTTGGGGGGCTCACCCCCGGTTCCCTCTATGGGCGATGGGAATGACGGGGAATGTGGGATGCGTTGTGCGGGACCGGGCAGGGAGACGTGAAAACTGGTCTGTGAGAGGCAAACTGGTTACGGTGGAGCTGTGTGAAGCTGCGCTGATGGGAGCGTTGAAGAAGAGAAAGAGATAGGGAGACAGCGTGCTTGGGCTACTGTATTTTAATGAGGGTTAATTGGAGCTAATACTCTGTAGGCTCTGGCATGCGTGCTGGTGGGGAAGTAAAGATCCCAGTGGTGATTGTCCTGGATGCCCAGTGTTCCTTTGGGAAAGCTTGTTGGAGAGTTTGAGATGCAGGCTGGTTTCTGTTTCGGTGCCCGTGTAAGTCAATTGCAAACCGACTCCTCCTTACCTAAAGATCCCTATTGCTTAATGATTACCTTGTGTGCTGCTCAGTAGCTGTTGCACAACACACTCGGATGTGTTGCTGGAGTTTCCTGGCTTTGGGATTCCTAATGCCTCCTGTGTACCTGCTCTGAAGTCACATCAGCCTGGTTACCTCAGGTCATTGGGTGCATAGGAAATGAAGGTGTCAGTATGGGGAGATAGAGAGGAGCTCTTAGGCACAAGCTCTTCCCTGTGAGGGCGCTGAGGCGCTGGCACAGGGTACCCAGAGAAGCTGTGGCTGCCCCATCCCTGGCAGTGTTCCAGGGCAGGTTGGACACAGGGGCTTGGAGCAACCTGCTCTAGTGGAAGGTGTCCCTGCCCATG